GGGGGGGGGAATAGTAACCACTGGAGAAGGCACTCCAAGGTAGTGTACATGAATAAGTGTTGTGTGTAGAAATGGGGGGGGGACAGGTGTGTTTATTAAGACAGTGTAAAGTGTTGGGGAAAAGAGGAAAGGATAGCATGTGTGTGATAGTATGAGTGTGAAGGAAAAAGGCTAAGTTCAGTCTTATTACCTTAGCAGCTTTTCATAAGCGATTTTAAGTAACTGGAGCAGGATTCAGAGCACTGAAATAGAGCATGTAAACTAACTAATAGGCGATTTGTAAGATCGCATTCGGAGAGAGAAAAAGACTCATTCAAAGAAGCATTTATCAATCAAAGAGGCTTCTATTATTACACGTATGGTCGGAAGTGGATGGCCTCCAGGCGGGGCAGCGTCCAGCCCAGGTTGAGCCACTCCACCTGCAGGTGAGAGCTGATGGTCAGGCAGAGGGAAAGCGCCCGCACCGAAAGCAACTGCGCCATCGGCCGACGAGTGGGCAACTGCAGCCCTTCAGGCTGACTGAGGTTGACCCGCAAGTCGAGGTGGACCAGCTGGGGCAGCTGCTGGAGCTCAGTGAAGAGCGGCCCCACCTCATTCAAGTTCACGTACTGAACGGTGAGCGAGGTGAGCGAGGGAAAGTGCCGACAGAGAAGGGGCAGCTCGGGGTAGTTGGCGGGAAAGGGGCTCAGGCGAACGATGCGCCTGCAGAAGGACTCACTGTGAGCTGGCGGGAGCAGTGAGGCGGCGAAGTACTTGGGCAGGTGAACCTGTAGGTTAATTGACGACGAAGAAGAAGATGTTAAGTAGTTGATTACGCTGATGAGACGGGTGCTCTGCTCCGCGGTAATCACGATGTAGTGAACGATCAAACTGGTCAGTTGAATTGCCCATTCGGTCTGGTGCAGCAAAGCAATCAAGAGATCGCTACCGCCTTTATCCCGCGAGGAAAAGTACTTCAGCTCAGTGACGATCGAGAAGATGTTTGCAATCTGCTCTGCAGTGCTGCTGCTGCTCAGTGAATAAAGTTTTCGGTCCAACAGTAGGCAGTTCCACTTGCTGAAGCCGCTGGTGTTTATCGGGCTGTTATCGGGCAAAGATTGCTCTTCAGTGGTGATCAACTGCATGGCTGGATACTTGGCCGCCTCAAGTGAAAGGAAGTCGATTTCGCCTTTGACCACTTCTAGGCTACTTCCAAACATAATGGCCAGTGACTTCAGGTGGCGATTTCGGCGGTTGGCAGATCTGACGAGTATCACACTGCGCGGACTCATCTGGGCTGCCTTTAGCTGATCATTCGGCGTCAGTTGCTTAAACACCGCAATCAAACACAAATCTGTAAGCGGGCGACTGGGAGCCATGTCTGGAGAAAGGATGGCTGCTCGAATACCAGGAAAAAAGATTGTAAAGAAGTTTGAAAGTTGTTGTTGTTTCTGCAGCGCAAAGCACAATGCGAGTGCGAGAGAAAGAAGAGAATGTGCTCACTTGTGTCCACATGGCCAGACAAATACAGTCAGTGCAGGCAAGTGCTTGCAAAGTGTCTGACACGAGTTACAATATAAAAGAGCGGTCGGCCCAAGAGTTGCTGTGAACTGTGTCTGGGCACTTTGTTGTTTGAAAATACACACAGCTCAGCAGGCACTCAGCATTGAAAAGTGTGACTCGATGTTATTTTTATTTTGCCTCTTTTTTCTTCAGTCATGTGTTAACAAGAAAAAGAGAGGAGAAAAGAGAAGGACATGTTTTTCAGTGATAAAATCAGACCTCAATTTACTTTAGGTAAACTAATTATTGGTAGTAGTAATGACTTGTGACTGAAGCTAGCACAAACTGAAAAAAAGGTGAAAAGGTAGACACCGGAAAGCATAGGGGACACAAAGACAGGTGGACAAACACACTCAGATAAAAACTGCAGATCTTTTAAACACAAAAGTGAAACTCTAGGAGTTTGCTGACTTGGCTTGAAGCCCTAGACTGGGTTGCGGAAGTTCTTGCCGGCAAACTTGGCCACCGTCGGCCCACCGAGCTGCTCCTCAATGCGGAGGAGCTGGTTGTACTTGGCGAGACGCTCCGAGCGGCAGGGGGCGCCGGTCTTGATCTGGCCGGCGGAGAGGGCGACCACCAGGTCGGCGATGAAGGTGTCCTCCGTCTCGCCGGATCGGTGGGAGACCATGGTGCCCCAGCCGTTGGCCTTGGCCAGCTGGTGCGCCTTGATCGCCTCGCTGACGGTGCCAATCTGGTTGACCTTGAGGAGGAGGCAGTTGCAAGCTTTCTTCTGCACCGCCGTCTGAATGCGCTTCGGATTGGTCACCGTCAGGTCGTCGCCAACCACCTGAATGGAGACGCTGCCGGTGAAGGCCACCCAGGCGGCCCAGTCGTCCTGATCAAAGGGGTCCTCGATGCTGACCACGGGGTAGTCGCGGATGAACTCCC